TGGATGGCTTAGATATAAAACCCAGTTTGGTCCCGGTGCCGGGTTCCGATCCTGCTCTGCCATTCTGCAAAAAAAAAAAAGGGGTTCAGGGCAGGTTTTGGGGGACTCGCACCCCAAATATGAATGGATATTTTGGGGGGGCTCACAGCTGGATGGTACAATTGGGGTCCTTTCAGATTTTCGGGGGGGGGACCCCAAGTCCCCTGTTTCTGGTCCCTGTCAAAGGCTGCCCAAAGCCTTCGGTGGGCTAAACCATACGGTGGCACCAATAGGGGGGGTAGAGAGACGGGATATTCCATTTGGAATCATGGGGGGGCCTCTGTTTTGTTCCCACCAAGATAAACTAAGCTTAGTTTTTGAGCTTTTTGCTTTAAAATTGTGGGATATATAGTAATATATATATATATATATAGTAATATATATGTATGTATGTATGTATATATATATATATATAAGCACATTTAATTATATATATATATATATATATATATATATATATATATATATATATATATATATATATATATATATATATATATATATATATATATATATATATATATATATATATATATATATATATATATATATATACATTTAATTATATACAGTATATACATTTAATTATATATATATATATGTATATGTATATGTATATATGTATATATAATTAAATAAATACTGGAAGTTTTTAAGAAGAGACTGGACAGCCATTTGTCCGAAATGGTCTAGAGTTTCCTGCCTGAGCAGGGGGTTGGGCTAGATGACCTCCGAGGTCCCTTCCAACTTGATGATGATGATGATGATGATGATGATGATGATGATGAAGAGACTGGACAGCCATTTGTCTGAAATGGTATATATAGGGTTTCCTGCCTCAGCGGGGGGTCAGACTAGATGACCTCCACGGTCCCTTCCAACTTTATTATGATGATGAAGAGACTGGACAGCCCTTTGTCCGAAATGGTCTAGAGTTTCCTGCCTGAGCAGGGGGTTGGGCTAGATGACCTCCGAGGTCCCTTCCAACTTTTTTATTATTGTTGCTATTATTATTATTATTATTATTATTAGACTGGACAGCCATTTGTCTGAAATGGTACAGGGTTTCCTGCCTGAGCAGGGGGTTGGACTAGATGACCTCCAAGGTCCCTTCCAACTTTATTATTATTATTATTATTATTATTATTATTATTATTATTATTATTATTAGACTGGACAGCCATTTGTCTGAAATGGTACAGGGTTTCCTGCCTGAGCAGGGGCTTGGACGAGATGACCTCCAAGGTCCCTTCCAACTTTATTATTATTATTATTATTATTATTATTATTATTATTATTATTATTATTATTATTATTATTATTATTATTATTATTATTATTATTATTATTATTAGACTGGACAGCCATTTGTCTGAAATGGTACAGGGTTTCCTGCCTGAGCAGGGGGTTGGACTAGATGACCTCCAAGATCCCTTCCAACTTTATTATTATTATTATTATTATTATTATTATTATTATTATTATTATTTACATACACACACAAACACATATATTTATATATATATATATTATATATAACTATACACACACACACACACATACTGAGGTCACGTGACAGCTTTAAATTGTGTATATATATATATATATATATATATATATATATATATATATATATAATTATATAATTATAATTATAATAGGACCTGGGGCATGGGCCTTCAGCCCCCCCCTTTCAGAAAAGGAATGGGGGCTGCCGCTTCCCTAGGGATGCTGGGAAATGTAGTTTTCTCGGCCTACTGACCGTCCGGCGTTCCCTTTGCAGAACTACAAGTAGGCCTTGACGTCACACGGATCGCTTAGCGACCGTTGAATGTCAGGGCGGAGTCCCCCACACCCCCCGAAAGGAACTTAAGACCCGGTCCTTGAAGAGCCAAGGAGCGGCCCCCCGTCCTCCAGTTTACGACCGCAAGAGAGCCCCAAATGCATGTCACTAAGCGAGACACTTGCTAAGTGACGTTTGCCCCACCCCTTTGACGGCTTTTCCCCGCCGCGGTTGTTAAGTGAATCGACCAGGTCCTTAAACTGAAACCTCCGGCGCCATGGTAATCCTCCAACGGTCTCTAAACGAAACCGTCGTAAGTCGAGGACTAAGCGGCAGGCGATTCGCCGTCTTTTGGTGTTGATTTCTGGGGTGTGTGGTTTTTTTTTCAAGACAAACGGCCCCCTCCCCGGCCGTCCAATGGGTTCGCTTAATGGCCGCGCGGGGTTTCGCTTAACGACCGCCCTGCTCATTTCGCATAAAAGGTCACACGAGCGAGTCGGTCGTTCTGCTTGAGAATCGTCACGGCTTACGGCCGTAACCGGGCAGGCCGCCTTCTCGTCGTAAGCCGAGGATCCTTGGACCTGTGAGGGAAACGGACGGCCCAGTTTGACGGTCGTTTCCTCCTACAACTATTAATATTTTAATATTTGCTTGATCCTTGAATAGGAAGGGAATCGCGGCGGTCGTTAAACGAATCCGGCTTGGCCCAGGCGCTTTGCCTTGTCGGAAGCCCGGCTGGGAAGGTCGTTAAGTGGGGATCACGTCAACAGTCGTAAAATAGATCCACCGGTTGCCAAGAGCCGCACGGTATAGGGTTTCCTG